ACCCAGCACAGGGTGTGGGGGTGCAGGATGTCACCCAGTGCAGGGTGCTGGGCGCAGGATGTCACCCAGTGCAGGGTGTGGGGGTGCAGGATGTCACCCAGCGCAGGGTGCTGGGTGCAGGATGTCACCCAGCGCAGGGTGTGGGGGTGCAGGATGTCACCCAGCGCAGGGTGCTGGGCGCAGGATGTCAGCCAGGGCAGGGTGCTGGGCGCAGGATGTCACCCAGCGCAGTGTGCTGGGTGCAGGATGTCACCCAGTGCAGGGTGCTGGATGCAGGATGTCACCCAGGGCAGGGTGCAGGTGCAGATGCAGGATGTCACCCAGCGCAGGGTGTGGGGGTGCAGGATGTCACCCAGCGCAGGGTGCTGGGCGCAGGATGTCAGCCAGGGCAGGGTGCTGGGCGCAGGATGTCACCCAGCGCAGTGTGCTGGATGCAGGATGTCACCCAGCGCAGGGTGCTGGATGCAGGATGTCACCCAGGGCAGGGTGCAGGTGCAGGTGCAGGATGTCACCCAGGGCAGGGTGCTGGATGCAGGATGTCACCCAGGGCAGGGTGCAGGTGCAGGTGCAGGGTGTCACCCAGGGCAGGGTGCTGGGTGCAGGATGTCACCCAGGGCAGGGTGCTGGGCGCAGGATGTCACCCAGTGCAGGGTGCAGGTGCAGGTGCAGGATGTCACCCAGTGCAGGGTGCTGGATGCAGGATGTCACCCAGGGCAGGGTGCAGGTGCAGGTGCAGGATGTCACCCAGGGCAGGGTGCTGGGCGCAGGATGTCACCCAGCGCAGGGTGCAGGTGCAGGTGCAGGTGCAGGTGCAGGTGCAGGTGCAGGATGTCACCCAGTGCAGGGTGCTGGGCGCAGGATGTCACCCAGCGCAGGGTGCTGGGCGCAGGATGTCACCCAGTGCAGGGTGCTGGATGCAGGATGTCACCCAGGGCAGGGTGCTGGATGCAGGATGTCACCCAGCGCAGGGTGCTGGGCGCAGGATGTCACCCAGCGCAGGGTGCAGGTGCAGGTGCAGGATGTCACCCAGGGCAGGGTGCTGGGCGCAGGATGTCACCCAGCGCAGGGTGCAGGTGCAGGTGCAGGATGTCACCCAGCGCAGGGTGCTGGGCGCAGGATGTCACCCAGGGCAGGGTGCTGGATGCAGGATGTCACCCAGCGCAGGGTGCAGGTGCAGGTGCAGGATGTCACCCAGGGCAGGGTGCTGGATGCAGGATGTCACCCAGCGCAGGGTGCAGGTGCAGGTGCAGGTGCAGGTGCAGGTGCAGGATGGGCCCAGCTCTGGGCAGGTCTCCCCAGAGCCGCTCCCGCAGTGACACCCCCAGTCAGGAGCCCCCAGCCCCATGTGAGCAGGGACACGGCCGGGGGCTGAGGAAGGTGGTGGTGAAGGCGGCCCCGTGCTGCTGGGTACAGAGGGGACATCGCTGCAGGGACACCACGGCGACACCTCCCAGCCACCTCCCCCCGGGTCCCTCTGCGCGGGGACATCGCCGGCTCTGGCACCAGCAGCAGGCAGGGGGGCGAAGGGATGTGAAAGGAGGATATGCAGGCGGGGTGAGGGCAGGGAGGGGATGTCGGGTGCAGGCTGCGTGCAGTGCGGGTGCTGTGGGTGCTGGCTGCAGGCTCTGAGCTGTGGGTGCTGGCTGCAGGCTCTGAGCTGCGGGTGCTGGGTGCAGGCTCTGAGCTGCGGGCGCTGGGTGCTGGCTCTGAGCTGCGGGTGCTGGGTGCAGGCTCTGAGCTGCGGGTGCTGGGTGCAGGCTCTGAGCTGCGGGTGCTGGGTGCAGGCTCTGAGCTGTGGGTGCTGGGTGCAGGCTCTGAGCTGCGGGTGCTGAGTGCTGGCTCTGAGCTGCGGGTGCTGAGTGCAGGCTCTGAGCTGCGGGTGCTGGGTGCAGGCTCTGAGCTGCGGGTGCTGGGTGCAGGCTCTGAGCTGCGGGTGCTGGGTGCTGGCTCTGAGCTGCGGGTGCTGGGTGCAGGCTCTGAGCTGCGGGTGCTGGCTGCAGGCTCTGAGCTGCGGGTGCTGGGTGCAGGCTCTGAGCTGCGGGTGCTGGCTGCAGGCTCTGAGCTGCGGGTGCTGGCTGCAGGCTCTGAGCTGCGGGTGCTGAGTGCAGGCTCTGAGCTGCGGGTCCTGTGTTTCTCACACTGCCCCCGGAGGCCCCCAGGACCAGGCGGTGCCGCACTGGGGAGTCCTGAAGCCCTCCCCACACCCCAGCTCCAGCCCAGCCCCAAGGGATGCAGCGGCCGCGGCAGGACGGTGCCAGCGGGGCACTGTGCCCCATTGCACACACCACGTCACAGGCACCAGCACAACATGCATCACCAGTCACCGGCTGCACCCTTCATCTGCAGCCCACGGGATGGTGCCGTGGGACCCCCACGGGGCCACGCTGGGTGCAAGGGATCCATCCACATCACACCAACCTTTATTGGAAGTATGATCAGAGCAGAGACCCCGGGAACCCCCCAGCCCCTCCCCTGGGACAGGGGCTGCCGCAGCCCCCCCCCAGCTCCGTGCCCCTCGCCCGGGGCTTGGCTCCAGCATCACTTGGGCTTGTCAAAGAGCTCCGCGACGTCCAGCATGGCCTGACGGATGTGCCTGCCGAAGCGCTTCGAGTCCTGCGGGCAACACCGTGACCCACGGCCCCCCACAGCCCCCCGGCACCGCAGAGCCATGCACTGGGCTGTGCTGGGAGGATCCTAAAGCTCCTCCAGCTCCAACCCCTGCCACGGGCAGGGACCCCTTCCACTGGAGCAGCTTGCTCCAAGCCCCTGTGTCCAACCTGGCCTTGAGCACTGCCAGGGATGGGGCAGCCACAGCTTCTCTGGGCACCCTGTGCCAGCGCCTCAGCACCCTCACAGGGAAGAGCTTCTGCCTAAGAGCTCAGCTCAGTCTCCCCTCGGGCAGGTTCAAGCCATTCCCCTTGGCCTGTCCCTACATCCCTTGTCCCAAGCCCCTCTCCAGCTTTCCTGCAGCCCCTTCAGGCACTGGAGCTGCTCTCAGGTCTCCCCTTCAGGAGCCTTCTCTTCTCCAGGCTGCCCCAGCCCAGCTCTCTCAGCCTGGCTCCAGAGCAGAGGGAGTTGAGTTGCTCCTCACCAACACCCCAAGCCTCTCCATCCCATCCCCATCCCGTTGCTGCCATTCCCGGCCCCGCTCTCACCGTCTCAGGACTCGAGAACTTGCTGGACACGTGGAAGTTGATCAGGTTTTCCCCAGCTATCATGTAGGAGACACCATAACCGTCATCCGCCACCTGCGGGTGAAGGGGAAGGTGGGACCCACTGCACCATGGGGCTGGGGCACCTGCCTGCAGCACGTCCCTGCCCAGGGCCATGGCGGGTATGGGGCATCAGCTTCCCCCGGGACCCTCCAGCACCCCGCTGGAACCCCAGGATGCCCCCATGACCCCCAGGATCCCCCCATTATCCCCCAGGACCTCCCTAGTCCCCCAGCCCAGGCCCCAAGCACCCACCTGCACCCCCAGGACCCCCCCAATACCCCCTCTTCCCCAGTGCTCACAGGCCCGAAGCCACCACCGGTGGAGACGTGGTCGGGGAACTTGTTGAGGTCGAACATGTTGAGCTGCTGCTGTGGGGTCTGGCTGGTGGAGAGACGCCATGGCTCCGACAGCACCTGCACCGCAGCCAGGGCACCCAGTACAGCCCAGTGTGCACCACAGTGCACCCCAGTGCAGCTCAGTACAGCCCAGAGCAGCCACTGCACCCCACTGACACCCCGACAACGGCAGCTGGGCACACGTGTGCCATGTAGTGTGTGCAGCCCTTGCACACGCATGTGCTGTGACACATCAGGGTGGTGGCTTTCTCCTGCACACCCATGCAGTGTCCTGTGTGCCATGTGTGCCTTCCTGGTGTCCCATGTGCCCTGCATGCTGCTGTGTCCCATGTGCTGTGTGAGCCCATGCCTGTCCCATGTGCTATGTGTGCCATGCCCGTCCCATGTGCTATGTGAGCCCATGCCCATCCCATGTGCTATGTGTGCCATGCCCGTCCCATGTGCTATGTGAGCCCATGCCCGTCCCATGTGCTATGTGTGCCCATGCCCGTCCCATGTGCTATGTGAGCCCATGCCCGTCCCATGTGCTATGTGTGCCATGCCCGTCCCATGTGCTATGTGTGCCATGCCCGTCCCATGTGCTATGTGTGCCATGCCCGTCCCATGTGCTATGTGTGCCATGCCCGTCCCATGTGCTATGTGAGCCCATGCCAGTCCCATGTGCTATGTGTGCCATGCCCGTCCCATGTGCTATGTGTGCCATGCCCGTCCCATGTGCTATGTGTGCCATGCCTGTCCCATGTGCTATGTGTGCCATGCCATGTCCCTTGCCCCGCGTGGCGCTGACCTGGGCAAGGAAGGGCGACTGCAGCCCCAGGTACCGCGACATCAGGTAGAGGCAGAAGAGGTGTCTGTCGATGCCGGCGCCGGTCATGGCCAAGCGGTACATGAGCTGGTGCTTCTCTGCCGCCAACCGGAACAGCCGCTGCCGCTCCGCGCGCTGCGGGGCACCGACACACACCGGGGACACCGCGTCACACGCGGCACAGGCACCAGGGACAGCCCCGGACAGGGAGACCCGGCCCCGGGCGCCTCCGGAGAGACCGGGATGTCCCAAAGGACAGGGACCACCACGAGGGACACGGGTCGTCCTAAGGGATGGGGACGGCTCCAAGGAGTAGGAGATGGGGACCTCCATGAGGGATGGGGACCTCTGAGGGGGGTGAAGCCCAGGGATTTGGATGCCAGTGAGGGATGGAGACGGAGTGGGGGACGTGACCTCCTCCCCCAGAGAGGGGCCCTTTCCGGGACTGTCATTCCCAAGGAGCAGGAGCACCCGCAGGGCACACGGGGCACCCCAGGGGATGCGACGCGAGGGGCCGCGGTGCTCACGCTCTGCGCAGGGTCGGCCATGCTGCGCACGAAGGCCGTGGACTCGGCGGTGCAGGAGCGCACGGTCTCGGTGCGGCCATCGCGGAACAGCCGCGTCATGGACGCCTCGTACGTCAGGCAGAACTGGCCCTTGTCCTGCCCGACCAGCACAGCGCCTCACACCTCATCCCAACACATCCCATCCCACCGCACCTCATCCCAACCCATCCCATCCCAACACACCTCATCCCATCACATCCCATCCCACCGCACCTCATCCCAACCCATCCCATCCCACCGCACCTCATCCCAACCCATCCCATCCCAACACACCTCATCCCAACACATCCCATCCCACCGCACCTCATCCCAACCCTTCCCATCCCACCGCACCTCATCCCAACCCATCCCATCCCAACACACCTCATCCCATCACATCCCATCCCACCGCACCTCATCCCAACCCATCCCATCCCAACACACCTCATCCCATCACATCCCATCCCAACACACCTCATCCCAACCCATCCCATCCCACCGCACCTCATCCCAACCCATCCCATCCCAACACACCTCATCCCATCACATCCCATCCCAACACACCTCATCCCAACCCATCCCATCGCACCTCATCCCAACACATCCCATCCCATCACACCTCATCCCATCACATCCCATCCCACCGCACCTCATCCCAACACATCCCATCCCAACACACCTCATCCCAACACATTCCATCCCACCGCACCTCATCCCAACCCATCCCATCCCAACACACCTCATCCCAACACATCCCATCCCATCGCACCTCATCCCAACACATCCCATCCCATCACACCTCATCCCATCACATCCCATCCCAACACACCTCATCCCAACACATCCCATCCCATCACACCTCATCCCAACACATCTCATCCCAACACACCTCATCCCAACACATCCCATCCCATCACACCTCATCCCATCACATCCCATCCCAACACACCTCATCCCAACCCATCCCATCCCAACACACCTCATCCCATCACATCCCATCCTATCACACCTCATCCCAACCCATCCCATCCCAACACACCTCATCCCAACCCATCCCATCCCATTGCACCTCATCCCATCACATCCCATCCCACCGGACCTCATCCCAACCCATCCCATCCCAACACACCTCATCCCATCACATCCCATCCCATCACACCTCATCCCAACCCATCCCACCCCACCGGACCTCATCCCAACCCATCCCATCCCAACACACCTCATCCCATCACATCCCATCCCATCACACCTCATCCCAACACATCCCATCCCATCACACCTCATCCCAACCCATCCCATCCCAACACACCTCATCCCAACACATCCCATCCCATTGCACCTCATCCCAACACATCCCATCCCATCGCACCTCATCCCAACACATCCCATCCCATCACACCTCATCCCAACACATCCCATCCCAACACACCTCATCCCAACACATCCCATAACATCACACCTCATCCCAACACATCCCATCCCAACACACCTCATCCCATCACATCCCATCCCATCACACCTCATCCCAACACATCCCATCCCATCGCACCTCATCCCAACACATCCCATAACATCACACCTCATCCCAACACATCCCATCCCATCACACCTCATCCCAACACATCCCATCCCACCGCACCTCATCCCAACCCATCCCATCCCAACACACCTCATCCCATCACATCCCATCCCAACACATCCCATCCCATCACACCTCATCCCAACACATCCCATCCCAACACACCTCATCCCAACACATCCCATCCCAACACACCTCATCCCAACACATCCCATCCCATCACAACTCATCCCAACACATCCCATGCCATCACACCTCATCCCAACACATCCCATCCCACCGCACCTCATCCCAACACATCCCATCCCAACACACCTCATCCCAACACATTCCATCCCACCGCACCTCATCCCAACCCATCCCATCCCAACACACCTCATCCCAACACATCCCATCCCATCGCACCTCATCCCAACACATCCCATCCCATCACACCTCATCCCATCACATCCCATCCCAACACACCTCATCCCAACACATCCCATCCCATCACACCTCATCCCAACACATCTCATCCCAACACACCTCATCCCAACACATCCCATCCCATCACACCTCATCCCATCACATCCCATCCCAACACACCTCATCCCAACCCATCCCATCCCAACACACCTCATCCCATCACATCCCATCCTATCACACCTCATCCCAACCCATCCCATCCCAACACACCTCATCCCATCCCATCCCATCGCACCTCATCCCATCACATCCCATCCCACCGGACCTCATCCCAACCCATCCCATCCCAACACACCTCATCCCATCACATCCCATCCCATCACACCTCATCCCAACCCATCCCATCCCACCGGACCTCATCCCAACCCATCCCATCCCAACACACCTCATACCATCACATCCCATCCCATCACACCTCATCCCAACACATCCCATCCCATCACACCTCATCCCAACCCATCCCATCCCAACACACCTCATCCCAACACATCCCATCCCATCGCACCTCATCCCAACACATCCCATCCCATCGCACCTCATCCCAACACATCCCATCCCATCACACCTCATCCCAACACATCCCATCCCAACACACCTCATCCCAACACATCCCATAACATCACACCTCATCCCAACACATCCCATCCCAACACACCTCATCCCATCACATCCCATCCCATCACACCTCATCCCAACACATCCCATCCCATCGCACCTCATCCCAACACATCCCATCCCATCACACCTCATCCCAACACATCCCATCCCACCGCACCTCATCCCAACCCATCCCATCCCAACACACCTCATCCCATCACATCCCATCCCAACACATCCCATCCCATCACACCTCATCCCAACACATCCCATCCCAACACACCTCATCCCAACACATCCCATCCCAACACACCTCATCCCAACACATCCCATCCCATCACAACTCATCCCAACACATCCCATGCCATCACACCTCATCCCAACACATCCCATCCCAACACATCCCGTCCCATCACACCTCACCCATCCCAACACATCCCATCCCATCACACCTCATCCCAACACATCCCATCCCAACACACCTCATCCCAACACATCCCATCCCAACACACCTCATCCCAACACATCCCATCCCATCACAACTCATCCCAACACATCCCATGCCATCACACCTCATCCCAACACATCCCATCCCAACACATCCCGTCCCATCACACCTCACCCATCCCAACACATCCCATCCCATCACACCTCATCCCAACACATCCCATCCCAACACACCTCATCCCAACACATCCCATAACATCACACCTCATCCCAACACATCCCATCCCAACACACCTCATCCCATCACATCCCATCCCATCACACCTCATCCCAACACATCCCATCCCAACACATCCCATCCCATCGCACCTCATCCCAACACATCCCATCCCATCACACCTCATCCCAACACATCCCATCCCACCGCACCTCATCCCAACCCATCCCATCCCAACACACCTCATCCCATCACATCCCATCACACCCCATCCCAACACATCCCATCCCATCACACCTCATCCCAACACATCCCATCCCAACACACCTCATCCCAACACATCCCATCCCAACACACCTCATCCCAACACATCCCATCCCATCACAACTCATCCCAACACATCCCATGCCATCACACCTCATCCCAACACATCCCATCCCAACACATCCCGTCCCATCACACCTCACCCATCCCAACACATCCCATCCCATCACACCTCATCCCAACACATCCCATCCCAACACACCTCATCCCAACACATCCCATCCCAACACACCTCATCCCAACACATCCCATCCCATCACAACTCATCCCAACACATCCCATGCCATCACACCTCATCCCAACACATCCCATCCCAACACATCCCGTCCCATCACACCTCACCCATCCCAACACATCCCATCCCATCACACCTCATCCCAACACATCCCATCCCAACACACCTCATCCCAACACATCCCATAACATCACACCTCATCCCAACACATCCCATCCCAACACACCTCATCCCATCACATCCCATCCCATCACACCTCATCCCAACACATCCCATCCCAACACATCCCATCCCATCGCACCTCATCCCAACACATCCCATCCCATCACACCTCATCCCAACACATCCCATCCCACCGCACCTCATCCCAACCCATCCCATCCCAACACACCTCATCCCATCACATCCCATCACACCCCATCCCAACACATCCCATCCCATCACACCTCATCCCAACACATCCCATCCCAACACACCTCATCCCAACACATCCCATCCCAACACACCTCATCCCAACACATCCCATCCCATCACAACTCATCCCAACACATCCCATGCCATCACACCTCATCCCAACACATCCCATCCCAACACATCCCGTCCCATCACACCTCACCCATCCCAACACATCCCATCCCATCACACCTCATCCCATCGCACCTCATCCCAACACATCCCATCCCATCACAACTCATCCCAACACATCCCATGCCATCACACCTCACCCCAACACATCCCGTCCCATCACACCTCACCCATCCCAACACATCCCATCCCATCACACCTCATCCCAACACATCCCATCCCATCACACCTCATCCCAACACATCCCATCCCATCACACCTCATCCCAACACATCCCATCCCATCACACCTCATCCCAACACATCCCATCCCATCCCATCCCACCCATGCTACCTCATTCCATCCCATCACACGTCAACTCAACACATCATATCCCACCTCATCCCATCCCACCACACCATATCCCGTCACATCCACCCCCATCCCATCACATCCCAACACATCCCACCTCATCCCATTGCATCCCACCTCCTTCCAACACAACCCATCCCACCCCATCCCATCACATCTTATCCCATCTCCATCCCACCACATCCCAGCCCCAACCCATCCCAATCCCCTTCCCATTCCCACCACACCCCATTCCTGCCGCCTTCCCCTGCTCCTCACGCGGAAGTGGGCGAGCTGGAGGCTGATCTGGATAAAGGCATCGGGGCTGGTCCGGCACCGCTTGATGAGCCCCTTCCCAAAGTCCGAGAAATGGAACACGTGGAAGTCCACGTCCTCAGCCAGCGTCCGTGCCAGCAGGTACGAGCGCTCAATGGCTGCACAGCACTGCGGGGACACAGGACACAGCATCCATAGGGACACAGCATCCATAGGGACACAGCATCCATAGGGACACAGGACACAGCATCCATAGGGACACAGCATCCATAGGGACACAGGACACAGCATCCATAGGGACACAGGACACAGCATCCATAGGGACACAGGACATAGCATCCATAGGGACACAGGACACAGCATCCATAGGGACACAGGACACAGCATCCATAGGGACACAGGACATAGCATCCATAGGGACACAGCATCCATAGGGACACAGGACACAGCATCCATAGGGACACAGGACACAGCATCCATAGGAACACAGCATCCATAGGGACACAGCATCCATAGAGACACAGGACACAGCATCCATAGGGACACAGGACACAGCATCCATAGGGACACAGGACATAGCATCCATAGGGACACAGCATCCATAGGGACACAGGACACAGCATCCATAGGGACACAGCATCCATAGGGACACAGGACACAGCATCCATAGGGACACAGGACATAGCATCCATAGGGACACAGCATCCATAGGGACACAGGACACAGCATCCATAGGGGCACAGCATCCATAGGGACACAGGACACAGCATCCATAGGGACACAGGACATAGCATCCATAGGGACACAGCATCCATAGGGACACAGGACACAGCATCCATAGGGACACAGCATCCATAGGGACACAGGACACAGCATCCATAGGGACACAGGACATAGCATCCATAGGGACACAGCATCCATAGGGACACAGGACACAGCATCCATAGGGACACAGCATCCATAGGGACACAGGACACAGCATCCATAGGGACACAGGACATAGCATCCATAGGGACACAGCATCCATAGGGACACAGGACACAGCATCCATAGGGACACAGCATCCATAGGGACACAGGACACAGCATCCATAGGGACACAGCATCCATAGGGACACAGGACACAGCATCCATAGGGACACAGCATCCATAGGGACACAGGACACGTGGGGGACACAGAACTTGCCCCACATCACCCACCCTGGGCACCGCCATGCGCTGGGACACCAGAGGGACAATGGCATCTCATGTGCTGGTGCCGAGGGGCAGAGACCACCCCGTGATGTGGGGCAAGGGCTGGGGTTCAGACCCACCTCCTCTGGGATGTCCCACTGCAGGCGCTGCGGGGGGGGCAGCATGGGGTTGGGCTCCCCCTTGCAGTGCCCATCCTCCGTGTAGCCCAGCTCAAACCGGTCTGTGCCCAGCATGAACTGGGGGGGGAGAGATGTGGGTGTGGGGCAACGGCCCCCAAGAGCCCCCAAAACCCTCCAGACCCCCTACCCCTGATCCTCCCCCAGCACTGCCCCATCCCCTCCAATCCAACCCCCACTGCCCCAGTGTGAGCCCCCCACGTCCTCCCAGCCCCACACATCCCCCCCCAGGAGAGGGGTCCCTGGCTAGGGGTACCCAGCTGGGGGTGTCCAATGTAGGTTCCCCCCCCGGAGGGACTCAATTTATGGTACACTATAAAAGGTCCCAACTGGGAGTGCCCAATGTGGGTCTCTAACCCTGGGGTGCACCAAGGGCTCCCCACCTGGATGTGCTCAATTGGGGGTGTCCAATGGGGGTCCCCAACTGGATGTGCTCAACTGGGGGTGCCCAATGGGGGTCCCCACCTGGATGTGCTCAATTAGGGGCGTCCAATGGGGGTCCCCAACTGGATGTGCTCAATTAGGGGTGTCCAATGGGGGTCCCCAACTGGATGTGCTCAATTGGGGGCGTCCAATGGGGGTCCCCAACTGGATGTGCTCAATTAGGGGTGTCCAATGGGGGTCCCCAACTGGATGTGCTCAATTGGGGGTGTCCAATGGGGGTCCCCACCTGGATGTGCTCAATTGGGGGTGTCCAATGGGGGTCCCCACCTGGATGTGCTCAATTGGGGGTGTCCAATGGGGGTCCCCAACTGGATGTGCTCAATTGTGGGTGCCCAATGGGGGTCCCCAACTGGATGTGCTCAATTGTGGGTGCCCAATGGGGGTCCCCAACTGGATGTGCTCAATTGTGGGTGCCCAATGGGGGTCCCCAACTGGATGTGCTCAACTGGGGGTGCCCAATGGGGGTCCCCAACTGGATGTGCTCAACTGGGGGTGCACCAAGGGCTCCCCACCTGGATGTGCTCAATTAGGGGTGTCCAATGGGGGTCCCCAACTGGATGTGCTCAATTGTGGGTGCCCAATGGGGGTCCCCAACTGGATGTGCTCAATTGGGGGTGTCCAATGGGGGTCCCCAACTGGATGTGCTCAACTGGGGGTGCCCAATGGGGGTCCCCAACTGGATGTGCTCAATTGGGGGTGTCCAATGGGGGTCCCCAACTGGATGTGTTCAATTGGGGGTGCACCAAGGGCTCCCCACCTGGATGTGCTCAACTGGGGGTGCCCAATGGGGGTCCCAAGCTCTGGGATACCCAAGGAAGGTGTCCAATGGGATTCCCTAGGGGGTGCCCATGAGCCACCCCACCCATCCCTGGGCTCCCAAAGGGGTGCCCGTGGGCTGCCCATCCCCAGGGTGCTGCCGGTACCTCCCAGAGGTGGCCGATGACGGGCGCGTCGGCCCAGGAGTGCTCGGCGTTGGCGCCCAGCTTCCCGTTGCTGTAGACCACGAGGGTGAAGGACTTGTCGAACCAGCGGTCGCAGCAGCGCCCGTGCAGCAGGGACTTGGCGTAGGCGTCCATGCAGCCCTCGCGCCGCGGCGCCGCGCCCTGCGCCTCCTCGTCCAGCGCCACGAAGAACGCGGCGCGCTCGATGGCATCCAGCGAGGCCTTGTTGGGGCCGCGGCTGAAGAACCGCGCGCGCGCCTCGGCCCACGCCACCCTGCGGCACAGGCGCCACGCTGGGACCCACGGGGAGAGCCGCACCCCACTGAGACCCAGAGAGACCCCGTGTCCCACGCCTCGACCCACAGCGAGCCCCCGAGATCCCCTACTGACCCACAGCGAGTCCCCGAGGTCCCCTACTGACCCACAGCGAGTCCCCGAGGTCCCCTACTGACCCACAGCGAGTCCCCGAGGTCCCCGACTGACCCACAGCGAGTCCCTGAGGTCCCCGACTGACCCACAGCGAGTCCCCGAGGTCCCCTACTGACCCACAGCGAGTCCCCGAGGTCCCCGACTGACCCACAGCGAGTCCCCGAGGTCCCCGACTGACCCACAGCGAGTCCCCGAGGTCCCCGACTGACCCACAGCGAGTCCCTGAGGTCCCCGACTGACCCACAGCGAGTCCCCGAGGTCCCCTACTGACCCACAGCGAGTCCCCGAGGTCCCCTACTGACCCACAGCGAGTCCCCGAGGTCCCCGACTGACCCACAGCGAGTCCCCGAGGTCCCCGACTGACCCACAGCGAGTCCCCGAGGTCCCCTACTGACCCACAGCGAGTCCCCGAGGTCCCCTACTGACCCACAGCGAGTCCCCGAGGTCCCCGACTGACCCACAGCGAGTCCCCGAGGTCCCCGACTGACCCACAGCGAGTCCCCGAGGTCCCCTACTGACCCACAGCGAGTCCCCGAGGTCCCCTACTGACCCACAGCGAGTCCCCGAGGTCCCCGACTGACCCACAGCGAGTCCCCAAGATCCCCTACTGACCCACAGCGAGTCCCCATCCATGGGACTCCCCGGGGCCCCATCCCACAGAACCTGCTCCATCCCCTGTGCCTGCTGCTTGGCAGCCCACGCACAGCACCCGCAGCACACCCCACTGCCCTGTAGGCCCCACAAGCACTGCATGCACAGCACCCACAGCAGCACCCACAGCATGCACAGCAAAGCACAGCACCCCCTGCACGTAAAGCTCCGGCAGCACCCACAGCAACGCAGCACAGTGTGCATGCATGCATGGTGTGCACCATGTGCACAGCACCCACAGCACTTACGGCAACGCAGCACAGTGTGCATGCATGCATGGTGTGCACCATGTGCACAGCACCCACAGCACTTACAGCAACGCAGCACAGTGTGCATGCATGCATGGTGTGCACCATGTGCACAGCACCCACAGCAGCACCCACAGCATGCGCCACATGCACAGCACCCACTGCATGCACGGTATCCACAGCACCTGCCGTACACCCTACAGCCCCATGGTCCCCATTGCTACTGCCCACCTCTCCCCTGTCGTGAGTGCCGCCAGCCCCATAGCCCCACACCTCTCCCCCGCGGTGAGTGCCGCCAGCCCCATAGCCCCACATGCCAGCCCCACACCTCTCCCCCGCGGTGAGCGCTGCCAGCCCCATAGCCCCACATGCCGGCCCCACACCTCTCCCCGCGGTGAGCGCCGCCAGCCCCATGGCCCCACATCCCAGCCCCACACCTCTCCCCCGCGGTGAGCGCCGCCAGCCCCATGGCCCCACATCCCAGCCCCACACCTCTCCCCTGTCGTGAGTGCCGCCAGCCCCATAGCCCCACATCCCAGCCCCACACCTCTCCCCCGCGGTGAGCGCCGCCAGCCCCATGGCCCCACATGCCAGCCCCACACCTCTCCCCCGCGGTGAGCGCTGCCAGCCCCATAGCCCCACATCCCAGCCCCACACCTCTCCCCTGTCGTGAGTGCCGCCAGCCCCATAGCCCCACATGCCAGCCCCACACCTCTCCCCCGCGGTGAGCGCTGCCAGCCCCATAGCCCCACATCCCAGCCCCACACCTCTCCCCCGCGGTGAGTGCCGCCAGCCCCATAGCCCCACACCCCAGCCCCACACCTCTCCCCCGCGGTGAGCGCCGCCAGCCGCTCCTCGCCCGGCTGCGGTCCCGAGGGATCATCCAGGATGCGCTGGAACTGGAGCTGGAGATCACAGGGCGGCAGGAGCTGCGCCCCCTGGTACAGCCAGAGCCGGTAAAAGCGCCCGCGGTGGAACACGGCCACGTGCCGGCTGTCCCCGAGGTGCACGAGCTGGTCTGCGGCAGGGACACGGACACGGGCATGGGATCCGGGACACCGGGATATGGGGACACGGGAGTCACAGGCACCCCAGTGGCAGGAACACGCTGACATGTCCTGCGGGCCTTGGGGTCCCCCCTCTGCCCCCACAGTCCCCATGTCCCACGTCCCCCATACCGGTCTCCTTGCCCGGGATGCGGGTGGTGTTGAACATTCGCTCCGACTGGGAGGAGCACATGGGGACGATGCCCAGCGCCATCAGCTGTGGGGCAGCGGTGAGGGGGGCTGTGAACTGCACCCCAACAACCCAGACCCACAGATCCCCCTGCACTCCAACCTGCATCCCCCAACCCAGACCCACAGATCCCCCTGCACTCCAACCTGCATCCCCCAACCCAGACCCACAGATCCCCCTGCACTCCAACCTGCATCCCCCAACCCAGACCCACAGATCCCCCTGCACTCCAACCTGCATCCCCCAACCCAGACCCACAGATCCCCCTGCACTCCAACCTGCATCCCCCAACCCAGACCCACAGATCCCCCTGCACTCCAACCTGCACCCCAACAACCCAGACCCACAGATCCCCCTGCACTCCAACCTGCATCCCCCAACCCAGACCCACAGATCCCCCTGCACTCCAACCTGCACCCCAACAACCCAGACCCACAGATCCCCCTGCACTCCAACCTGCATCCCCCAACCCAGACCCACAGATCCCCCTGCACTCCAACCTGCACCCCAACAACCCAGACCCACAGATCCCCCTGCACTCCAACCTGCATCCCCCAACCCAGACCCACAGATCCCCCTGCACTCCAACCTGCATCCCCCAACCCAGACCCACAGATCCCCCTGCACTCCAACCTGCATCCCCCAACCCAGACCCACAGATCCCCCTGCACTCCAACCTGCATCCCCCAACCCAGACCCACAGATCCCCCTGCACTCCAACCTGCATCCCCCAACCCAGACCCACAGATCCCCCTGCACTCCAACCTGCACCCCAACAACCCAGACCCACAGATCCCCCTGCACTCCAACCTGCATCCCCCAACCCAGACCCACAGATCCCCCTGCACTCCAACCTGCACCCCAACAACCCAGACCCACAGATCCCCCTGCACTCCAACCTGCATCCCCCAACCCAGACCCACAGATCCCCCTGCACTCCAACCTGCACCCCAACAACCCAGACCCACAGATCCCCCTGCACTCCAACCTGCATCCCCCAACCCAGACCCACAGATCCCCCTGCACTCCAACCTGCATCCCCCAACCCAGACCCACAGATCCCCCTGCACTCCAACCTGCATCCCCCAACCCAGACCCACAGATCCCCCTGCACTCCAACCTGCACCCCAACAACCCAGACCCACAGATCCCCCTGCACTCCAACCTGCATCCCCCAACCCAGACCCACAGATCCCCCTGCACTCCAACCTGCATCCCCCAACCCAGACCCACAGATCCCCCTGCACTCCAACCTGCATCCCCCAACCCAGACCCACAGATCCCCCTGCACTCCAACCTGCATCCCCCAACCCAGACCCACAGATCCCCCTGCACTCCAACCTGCATCCCCCAACCCAGACCCACAGATCCCCCTGCACTCCAACCTGCACCCCAACAACCCAGACCCACAGATCCCCCTGCACTCCAACCTGCACCCCAACAACCCAGACCCACAGATCCCCCTGCACTCCAACCTGCACCCCAACAACCCAGACCCACAGACACCCCTGCACCCCCTAATCCAGCCCCTCAAACACCCCCAGGACCCCTGTCAGCCCCACAGAGCCCCCCTGCTCACGGGGGGCAGCTCGCCGCGGTCCAGCTTGCGGCGGTACAGGATCATGGCGTGAACCGCATTCCCGGCGCGCGCAGCCTGGATGTGGCTGGGGGTCACGTACAGGAAATCCTGCAGAACGACACTCCATGAGGATGAGGGGGAGTTGGGGGGGGCACACGGCACTGGAACCCCCAGACCCCTACCATGGCGTAGTAGTTGCTGTTGACCATGATGGGGCTGCGGCCGCGCAGGTAGATGTACTCCTCCCACCAGTCACTGACCTGCGGGGATGGGGATGAGGTGGGAGGGGATGGGGATGGAGATGGGATCGGGATGAAGTTGGAGATGGGGGACAGGACCCCTCGGGAGGCCCCAAATCCCCCTTCCCATGATGAGGGATGAGCAGCAGGACTTTGGGCTTGAGCCGGGGACATCATCCATGGTGCTGGATGGGGGAACCATCACCACGTGTCCATGTGGCCATCTGGGGGGACACGTGGCGAGGGTCCCCCCCACATCTGTCACCTGGGGCTGCTGATGACTCACATAGTTGGTTGTCCACCAGGACTTGAGGATCAGGTACTTCTGCAGCCGCGGCGCGATCGTCTCCTTGAACTCCTTGGCCAGCGTCTCCATCTTGTTGTACTTCTCATTGTCCATCAGTGGCCGCACCGACTCCAGGTACTGCAGAATTGGGCTCGGGTGACCCCAAACACATCCCATCCCATGCCATCCACCCATCTCCATCCATTCCATCCTATCCCCAACTTATTCCATCCCATGCCATCATAGACCCACCATCCCACCACAGACCCCCCAACCCATCATAGAGCCTCCATCCCCATCCCATGATAGACTCCCCCATCCCATCCTATCCCACCATCAACCCCGATCCCATCCACTCCCATCCACCCCATCCCATCCCCATCTCATTCCATCCCATGTCATCACAGACCCAGCATCCCACTACAGACCCCTCATCCCATCCCACCTTGCCATGGAGCCCCATCCCATCCCATCCCATCCCATCCCACCCCTCACACGGGTGATGGTGGCCTGCACAGAGGGCACAGGCAGTTTGGGCAGGGAGGTCTGGAAGCTGTAGAGCAGCGGCTTGCGGAAGGACAGCACCTTCATCATCACCTGTGGGGACACGGAGCCAGGGAAGGAACATGGAGTGGCCATGAGGCACCCGACACGTCCCATCCCGTCACATCTCCACCCCTCCCCGTGCCCTCCCCACCCCACCCCGTCCATGTCCCACCCGTTCCCACGCCTGCCCGCAGGCACTGACCATCCAGACGCGGGTGCGGCGGCTGAGGCGGCCGTGGGGCTCGAACATCCACCCATGGTAGGTGAGGAGCAGGCGCAGGGCGCGGCGGAACAGCAGCACCGTGCCCAGCCACACGCCGGTGCCGAACAGCGCCGCGCTCAGCGCCTCGCGCCCACCGGGGCTCAGGAACCGGCTGCAGGGACATGGCACATGGGGGACCCCTCCGTGGGGCTGAGCCGGGAAGGGGGACCCTGGGAGCACCCATGTGGGGTGGAGCTGCAGGGGGGATACGGGAGGTGGGATGCGTGGGGCTGGTCCCAGGGCAATGCCACAGCCCCTGTGACCACGCAGGGCGCTGGGGACATGCAGGTGGGTCCATCGTGCCCGTGGGCTGGGACATGGGGGTGGGCCCCACCATGGGCTGCAGCACTGCGACATGGGGGCGGAGGGCTCCTCCCATGTCTCTCGACGTCCCCTCTGTCCCCCTATGTCCTTGTGTGCCCATATCCCCCCTTGTCCCCTGCTATCCTCCCATGTCCTCATGGCCCTCCCTGTTCCCCCTCTGTCACCCCATGTCCTCGTGTCTCCGTATCTCCCCATGTCCCCCCGTGTCCCCGTGCCCCAGTGTCACCTCTGGGGCAGGTAGTGCTGGATGCGGGTGATGAGTCCCCGGGAAGGGTCGACCTGGCAGTAGACGGAGCCAGCAGTGGCCATGACCACAAGCACCCAGCTGGACGGGGAGGCCGGGTACACCCCACTCAGGAACGTGTTCTGTGGGCACAGGGCAGCAGTGACCGGGGTGACAGTGGGGGTGACAATGGGGGTGACAATGGGAGTGATGATAGGGATGATGGGGATGGGGTGATGGTAGGGATGATGGGGATGGGGTGATGGTAGGGATGATGGGGATGGGGTGATGATAGGGATGATGGGGATGGGGTGATGGTAGGGATGATGGGGATGGGGTGATGCTAGGGATGGGGTGATGATAGGGATGATGGGGATGGGGTGATGGTAGGGATGATGGGGATGGGGTGATGCTAGGGATGGGGTGATGGTAGGGATGATGGGGATGGGGTGATGGTAGGGATGATGGGGATGGGGTGATGATAGGGATGATGGGGATGGGGTGATGGTAGGGATGATGGGGATGGGGTGATGATAGGGATGATGGGGATGGGGTGTCGGTATCGGAGTGATGGGGCGTCAGGACGCTGGGGTGTCGGGGTGACGGGGTGTTGAGGTGACAGGGTATCGGGGTGTCAGGGTGCGCACCTTGGCCTGCACGAGGCGCTTCTTCCACGCGTGCGCGGCGGCGAGGCAGAGCTGCCGCACGGCCTCGCGGCTCAGCCGCAGGTCAAGGCCCTCGGGTGTGACCGTGAACTGGAACGCGACGGCCTGGTGGGCCTCCGCCATGGCACCTGCGGCAGGAGCACGTCACGGGGGCACGGGGACACACGCGTGGGGACATGCACATGGGGACACACGCGTGGGGACACACACGTGGGGACACGCACATGGGGACACGCGCGTGGGGACATGCACATGGGGACACACGTGTGGGGACACACACGTGGGGACACGCACATGGGGACACACACGTGGGGACACGCACATGGACCTGCACACATGGGCCCGCACACGTGGGACCACACACACGGACCTGCACACATGGACCCACACACATGGACCCACACACGTGGATCCGCACACACGGACCCACACACACGGACCCGCACACATGGATGGACCCGCACACGTGGGACCACACACATGGACCCACACACACGGACCCACACACATGGACCCACACACATGGACCCACACACATGGACCCGCACACATGGACCCGCACACGTGGATCCACACACACGAACCCACACACATGGACCCACACACGTGGATCCACACACATGGACCCACACACATGGGGACACACACATGGACCCACACACATGGACCCACACACATGGACACGCACACGTGGATCCACACACATGGACCCGCACACATGGACACGCACACATGGACCCGCACACGTGGATACACACACACGAACCCACACACATGGACCCACACACACGGGGACGCACACATGGACCCGCACACGTGGATCCACACACACGGACCCACACACATGGGGACGCACACATGGACCCACACACGTGGACCCGCACACCGCCCACCCCACACATCCCAGCCCCATGGGCACAGCCTCACTTGGGGACTGCTCTGATGCTCCCTCCCCACACATCCCAACCCTGGATATCCCACCCCATAGGCACAGCCCCATGGGCCCAGCCCCACCTATGGACATCCCGGGGGGTCCCACCCCACACACGCCAGCCCCAGACATCCCCACCCAACACACACCGCAGCCCTACGGGCACAGCCCCACTCTCCCCCACCCCACAGCACAGGCCCAGCCCCACGAGCCCAGCCCCACACAGGGACACCCCCAGCTGCCCCCACCACAGGCCCCACACGCACACACCCCCAGGCACAGGCCTGGCCCCACACGGGGACACCCCCAGGTCCCCCCCGGCACAGGCCCCGCTTGGCTCCGGTGCCGCGGTCACGCGCCCTTGGCTGAGCGCCCACTGAGGGAAGGGTCAGAGACGGCAGCGGCTGCGGCAGTGGCACATACACATGGGAGAGAGGGACACAGGGACACACGGGGACACAGGGACGGACATGGGGACACACAGAGGGACATGGGGACATGGGGACGGACATGGGGACATAGGGACACACAGAGGGACATAGGGACAGACATGGGGACATAGGGACACACACAGGGACATAGGGACAGACATGGGGACATAGGGACACACAGAGGGACATAGGGATGGGCATAGGGACACACACAGGGACACACGGGGACACACAGGGACATGGGGACATAGGGACGGACATGGGGACATAGGGACACACACGGGGACATAGGGACAGACATGGGGACATAGGGACACACGGGGACGGACATGGGGACACACGGGGACATGGGGACATAGGGACGGACATGGGGACATAGGGACACATGGGGACGGACATGGGGACACACGGGGACATGGGGACATAGGGACACACACAGGGACATAGGGACAGACATGGGGACATAGGGACACACAGAGGGACATAGGGATGGGCATAGGGACACACACAGGGACACACGGGGACACACGGGGACATGGGGACATAGGGACGGACATGGGGACATAGGGACACACACGGGGACATAGGGACAGACATGGGGACATAGGGACACACACAGGGACATAGGGAGAGACATGGGGACATAGGGACACACGGGGACGGACATGGGGACACACGGGGACATGGGGACATAGGGACGGACATGGGGACATAGGGACACATGGGGACGGACATGGGGACACACGGGGACATGGGGACATAGGGACACACACAGGGACATAGGGACAGACATGGGGACATAGGGACACACAGAGGGACATAGGGATGGGCATAGGGACACACACAGGGACATAGGGACAGACATGGGGACACACAGAGGGACATAGGGATGGACATAGGGACACACACAGGGACATAGGGACACACATAGGGACACACGCAGGGACACGCACACCAACTCACACAGGGGCACACAGACACACATGGGTTCACTGGCACAGGGACACACAGACACACAGACACACAGACACACATGCACACGCACGCACACACACAGACACACACACAGAGACACACACACAGACAGACAGACACACACACACACACACAGACACACACACAGACAGACAGACACACACACACGCACACACACAGACACACACACAGACAGACAGACAGACACACACACACACACACACCCCCCACACACCCTTCACTCGCAGGGAGCTGCCGGGGCCCTGCCCACAGCCAAGGACAAGGCAGCACCAGCCCCAGTGCCAGCAGCCTCACAGGACACAGCACATGGCACACACTGCGCCCTGCACCGGGACATGGCACACTGCACACTGCACACTGCACACAGCACATGGCACACGCTGTCCCCTGCACCGGGACATGGCACACTGCACACTGCACACTGCACAAGGCACATGGCACACGCTGTCCCCTGCACCGGGACATGGCACACTGCACACTGCACAAGGCACACTGCACACAGCACATGGCACACGCTGTCCCCTGCACCGGGACATGGCACACTGCACACTGCACAAGGCACAGTGCATACAGCACATGGCACACACTGTCCCCTGCACCGGGACATGGCACACTGCACACTGCACAAGGCACATGGCACACGCTGTCCCCTGCACCGGGACATGGCACACTGCACACTGCACAAGGCACATGGCACACGCTGTCCCCTGCACCGGGACATGGCACACTGCACACTGCACAAGGCACATGGCACACGCTGTCCCCTGCACCGGGACATGGCACACTGCACACTGCACAAGGCACATGGCACACGCTGTCCCCTGCACCAGGACATGGCACACTGCACACTGCATACAGCATGGGGCACATGGCACACGCTGTCCCCTGCACCGGGACATGGCACACTGCACAGTGCATACAGCACATGGCACACACTGTCCCCTGCACCGGGACATGGCACACTGCACAGTGCATACAGCACATGGCACACACTGTCCCCTGCACCGGGACATGGCACACTGCACAGTGCATACAGCACATGGCACACACTGTCCCCTGCACCGGGACATGGCACACTGCACAGTGCATACAGCACATGGCACACACTGCGCCCTGCACCGGGACATGGCACACTGCACACTGCACAAGGCACATGGCTCACGCTGTCCCCTGCACCGGGACATGGCACACTGCACACTGCACAAGGCACATGGCTCACGCTGTCCCCTGCACCAGGACACGGTACACTGCACACTGCACACCCTGTCCCCTGCAGAGGACCACGGAGCCAGGGGGCCACTTCACTGCATGGTTACACTGCACCACGCTGCTTACACTGCACGGACTGCACTGAGCAGCTACAGCACACTGCACTGAAGCACACTGCACGGCTGCACAGGCACGCTGCACTGCATGGCGTGCATTACACTGCACTGAACTACCAACCATAAACTGGTAACCATTGCTGCTCTGCACCTCACCGTGTTACACTGCACTGCACCGCACCACATCACCCTGCCCTCAAGTGCAGCGCTCTGCACCTCACCGTGTTACACTGCACTGCACCGCACTGCACCACATCACCCTGCCCTCAAGTGCAGCGCACTGCGCCACACTGCCCCTGGCTACACTGCACAGTTCAGCACCGCAACCAGCTGCATGCACTCATCCCGCACTGCACGGCACTGCACAGGATGGCACTGCAGGGCCTGGCATGGGGCAGCACCGCAACCTGCTGCATGCACTCATCCCGCACTGCCCGGCACTGCAGGGCCTGACACGAGGCAGCACCACAACCTGCTGCATGCACTCATCCCGCACTGCACAGGATGGCACTGCAGGGCCTGGCACGGGGCAGCACCGCAACCTGCTGCATGCACTCATCCCGCACTGCAAGGCACTGCAGGGCCTGACACGGGGCAGCACTGCAACCTGCTGCATGCACTCATCCCGCACTGCACGGCACTGCACAGGATGGCACTGCAGGGCCTGGCACAGGGCATGGCACCGCAAGCAGCTGCATGCACTCATCCCGCACTGCACAGGGTGGCACTGCAGGGCCTGGCACGGGGCACAGGGTGACCCTGCACCGCGGAGCTACCGAGCCCCCCCCCAGCCCCCCCAAGGTCACCGGCGCCGGTCGCTGCCCCGCTGGACCCCGCGGCCACCCGGGGCCATGGGCGCGGGCCGGGGGGCTCGGGGGGCGCTGTGGGGGGCTCGGGGGGGCTCCGTGGTGCCCCCGGGGAGCGCGGGCCGGGCCGGGCCCGGGGGTTCTCGCTGCGCTCCCCCCGCACACGTCGGGTTCGACCCCCACCCCCCCGGGCCGTGTCCGTGTCCCCCCCCCCCCCCCCGGCTCAGCCCCCCCCGTGCCCGGTACCTGCTGCGGGGCGCGGGCGCGCGACACCCCGGGCTGGCGGGTCCCGGGTAACCGGACACCGGCGGGGCGGGACCGGGCGGCACCGCCCCGGGGAGCGGGCACGGGGGGACCCGCACGGACCGGGGGGGATCCGCAGCGACCGGTCAGGAACCGACGGGCAGGACAGGGGCACCAGCGACACCGGATACCCCTTGGAGGAGACCCGCATCGGGGGGGACGCGGGACGGACCCACACCCTGCGGAGACCGAGACCCCAGGACAGAGCCACGTACACTGGGGGGAGCGGGGAACCGCATTTCCCGGCAGGAACCGGCATCCCAAAGATGCAGAACCCCCGGGGGAAACCCACACTTCCCGGGGGAACCCACACCCTGGAAAAGGGACCAACACAGCGGAGCAGGAGCAGCATCCCGAGAGGGACCTGCATCCCCGAGCAGGGACCCGCCTGCTGCCCCCCTCAGCCATGCTGGGTACATGCACCCCAGCACCCTGCTGCACGCACAAGCATGCTCTGACCCCCAGCGCTGCCCCACACGTGTCAAGGGCCCCGAGGCCATGGGGAGGGTGAAGCCATGAGTCCCGCACTGCTGCTGGTGGGGAAGGCGAAGAGGTGCTGAAGCTCTGGGACCCGCATGGACCTGCTGCAAGGAGCAGGCAGGGCCCTGCAGGGGTGGGGTGCTGGGGGGGTCCCTGCTCCTTCTGGGGGGTGCAGAGGTACCTGAGGGTCCCCCTCACCAGGTCCGCACCCCCAGAACGCCCATGGGCAGGTCCTGGTGCTGTGCCCATTACTGCTCCCTCCAGCCCGGCGCTACCGCATGGCCCCAGCCACAGCCCCAGCAATGGGGGTCAGGGGAGAAGGGGGTCAGTGCCGCTGGGGGCAGAGCAGCAGCCACGCAGGGTGAGCAGGCACTGATCACCACCACCACCATCACATCCATCACCACCATCACCACCATCGCCACCGTGTTTATTGGTCCAAGTCACATTCTGCTGTCGGAGGGAGGGGGAAGCAGCAGCCCCTGGTCCCAGTGCAGCCCCTGCACCAGCCCTAGAGGTATGGGGAGGGACATGGCTGGGGAGGAAACAACAGGCTGCAAGTCGGGGCCTCAGCACTGCTCCTTGTGCTGGAAATAGGCCTCGAAGCGGCTCTGAGCATAGTCCTGGGGGGAAAGGAGGGGGTCAGGGCTGTGCCCCCCACCCCGACACCCCACGCTGAGGGGGAGAGCCCAAGGCAGTGCTCACCAGGTACCCGAACTCAATGGTGGAGATCTTGGCCTGCAGGATGGACCACAGCCCCCAGAAGAAGTGAGAGGCCAAAACGAACCTGCGGGAGAGCAGCCATCACCCCCGCCCTGCCCCACACACCCCATGGAGCGGGGGGGCAGGGTTTGGGGCTGAGGGGGGGTCCTGTGCCCTCACGCACCGGTGGATCTCGGTGAGCATCTCCTGCTCAATGCGCACCTGCTCCTCAGGTGCCGCATCCCAGTGGTGGCCTGGGGCCTCCGAGAGGTAGTGACGGATGAAATGCAGCTGCGGGATGGAAGTGTGGGGCCATGGAATGGGGGAAGCACAGGATCATGGGATCAACCGGGTTGGAAAAGCCCTTCAAGCTCATCCAGTCCAACCATTCCCAGCACTGCCAAGGCCACCACTAACCCATGGCACTGAGGCCTCCTCTCCACGCTGTGTGAACACTTGCAGGGACGGTGCCTGCAGCCCTGCCCTGGGCAGCCTGTTCCAATGCCTGAGCACCCTCTGGGGCAGGAATTGTTCCTCAGCTCCATCTAAACCTGCCCTGGGGCAGCTTGAGGCCGTTTCCTCTTGTCCCATCCCTTGTTCCTTGGGAGCAGAGCCCAGCCCCTCCTGGCTCCATCCTCCTGTCAGGCACTTGTAGGGAGCCATCAGGTCCCCCTGAGCCTTCTCTTCTCCACACTGAACCCCCCAGGTCCCTCAGCCCTTCCCCATCACCCCTGTGCTCCAGGCCCTGCACCAGCTCCATTGCCCTGCTCTGGCCCCACTCCAGCACCTCAATGTCTCTCTTGTAGTGAGTTCCCCAGAGCTGAGCACAGGATTCAAGGTGCAGCCTCACCAGTGCCCAGTGCAGGGGCACAATCCCTGCCCTGGCCCTGCTGCCGCACTGGTGCTGATCCAGGGCAGGATGCTGGGGGCTTCCTGGCTGCCTGGGCACAAGCTGCTCACGTTCAGCTCCATCAATCAGCACCCCCAGCCCCCTTCCTATGAGCAGTTTCCAGCCGCTCTTCCCAATCCTGGAGCACTGCAGGGGGTTGGTGTGACCCAAGTGCAGTTTGCCTCATTGAACCCCATCCCACTGGCTCATTCCATTGATCTGGGATGCAGCCGATGCCCCCCCAGCTCTACCTGCTGCTCCCGGCTGGGGTAGTTCTCTGGGATAGCCTTGAAGAAGGGCCAGGAATGGTGTGTGTAGTCATAGGTCCACTCGCAGAAGTGGTTCCCGATGTCGAAGCCCCTGCGGAAGGGCCCAGAGGAGCTGAGTCCCGGCCCCAGCAGACTGGGAACACAGGGAAGGACATGGGGGACCCAACGCACCGGTAGTTGTAGCTGCTGTACTCGAAGTCGATGAGCATCAGCTTGTCAGAGGAGGAGGCCTCACGCCCAGCCAGCAGCAGAACATTCCCTGTGGGGAGATGGGGTCTGGGGGTGTCCCACCAGGAATGCTGGAGCTGGGGGGAGCCACAGCCACTCACCCTCCTGCACGTCGTTGTGACAGAAGACCACGGGCGAAGGGGTGGACTCCAGCAGGTCCCTGTGGATGGGAATGGGGAGGACACCTCAGATAGCCACAGGGACATGGGGGTCACCAGTGTCACCACCAGTGCCACCGCTGCATGTGGGTGGTCAGAGCTATGGACACAGCTGGGATCCAGGCTTCAGGAGCATAGAACCATGGAATGGTTTGCGTTGAAGGGACCTCAAAGCTTGTCCAGCTCCAACCCCTGCCACGGGCAGGGACCCCTTCCACTGGAGCAGCTTGCTCCAAGCCCCTGTGTCCAACCTGGCCTTGAACACTGCCAGGGATGGGGCAGCCACAGCTTCTCTGGGCACCCTGTGCCAGCGCCTCAGCACCCTCACAGGGAAGAGCTTCTGCCTCATATCTAACATGGCAGAGACCCTGCCCCAGGGATGTGGGGACCCTTCCAAGAGCCACATCCACCAAGGGCATGGGATGGAAGAGACCACGTCCAGAGAAGCCGGGTTCTCCCTGGCTCCTGTGAGGAGCTCAGCAAGGAGACAGGACCAGGGCAGTGCCACTCACCGGAGGCTCCTCATCTCTGCCTCCAGGTTGTACATCCTGAGCTCGTTGAACTTCCTGAGCTGCTCTGCCTGGGGGAAGGTGAGCTCCGAGATCTGCCTCAGATACCTGCAGGGTGGGAGACAAGTGCGGCGGTGGTGGTTGGATGGACACCCCTGGGTGCTGCCTCCAACCACATCCCCTGGGTCCCCAGCACAGAGCCAGGGCCACTGGGGAGCCTCCACGTGCCCTGCTCCTGGATCCCATGGGATTCCAGGCGTCGAGGGGCCGCACGGCGCCCGCCCTCACCACTCCATGGTCCCGAAGAGCCACTTGGGCTCCTTGTTGAAGGGCATCACCATGCCGTGGAACCGGGACATCTTCACCGCGATCTCCCCTGAGATGTCGGGGTCCCGCAGGTCCTCAGTGCGCAGGCGCCGGCTCTGGGGGGGGGGGGGGGGGGGTGTCTCAGGGGGGTGGTGGCCCGGGGGGGTGTCAGGCAGGGGTGAGGCTCCCCCGGAGGTCTGTACCGGGATGTACTGCTCCAGCCGCCCCTCCGGGAACACGCCGAAGAGCCGCGGCCCCAGCGCTCGCTCCGCCAGCACAGCGAACATCACGCTCTGCAGCACCAGCGAGTCCAGGCCCTGCACAGTGGGGTAAGGGGGTACTACAGGGTATGGGGGTTCGGGGGCGTTCCACAGGGTATGGGGGTGCCAGGGGTGATGGATGGGGAGTACTGGGAGTGCCAGAGGGGTGTTGGAGATGCTGGGGACTGATGGGGCTATGGGGGGTTGCTGGGGATGCTGAGGGGAGCTGGGGGGTACTGAGGGGTGATTGTGGGTGGTGGGGAGAGCCGGGGGTGTCAGAGATGCTGGAGGGTGATGGGTGGGGGGAGACTGAGGGATACTGGGGTTACCGTGAGGTAAGGGGGTTCCCAGGGGTGCTGGGGGTTTCCAGGGGGTGCTGGGGGGTACCGGGGTGTGGGTGCTCACCTGCAGGATGGCCCCATAGATGCGCAGCAGGACCTGCCGTGGCTCGTCCCCCACGTTGAGCACTCGCTCTGGCAGCCAGCACTTGTACAGCAGATTGCTGAGCCCCCCGCTGCGGCCCCGCGTCAGCCACGGACGCTGGGCACCGCGACAGTGGGGCCATGGGGGACAGCGGGACAATGGGGGCATCACGACAGGGGCATCTGGCAGAGCACTGGGACACTGGAGGGGCGTCTGAGCAACTGGGGTCACTGGGACACCAGCCAGGGCAATTCGGGAACACTGGGACGCTGGTAAGGGCGGCGCAACAGGGAACGGTAGGAGAGGGACTGGGACACTCGGGGCTGGGCAAATGGGAGACACTGGGGGGACACTGGGAGGGAGACTGGGCTACTGGTCAGGAACAACTGGGGCACACTGAGAGGAGGACAGAGGCACCGGCTGGGGAGGCAACTGGGGATACTGGGAATGGGACTGGCACACCAGTTAGAGGGCAACTGGGCAGGCACACCGGGAGACACTGCGAGGGAGCCAGGGACTGGCTGGGGCGGCGACTGCGAGGGAGACTGGGACACCAGTATGGGGGCAAGGGGAGGGTACTGGGAGCGGGATGGGGATACATGGGCTGGGGGGGCACCGGGCAGGGGTAACCGGGGGCACGGGGCGCGGTGGGCGCAGGGACCGGGGCGGGCAGGGACCGGGGCTCGTACCTGACGGGCTCGATCCCGAACTCGTCAGGCGCAATGAGCTTCCAGGAACCGGCCAGGAACTCCCGGCACCAGGCGAAGGCACGCAGGCGGGTGGCGGCGGGCACGGGCACCGCCACGGCCCCGGCCTCGGTACCCGGCACCGGCACGGGCACGGGTACGGCCCCGGCGCCGCCGCTCCGCTCCCGTCCCGCCGCCATTGCCGCCGCGTCCGCCGGGCGGGCCGAGGGGCGGAGCGGAGCGCCTGCCTGGCCAATGGGAAAGCGCCTCCGGTGGTGACGTTGCAGAGCCCCGCCAATGGGCTGCCACGGCAGGGCGGCAGCAGGAGGGGGGAGTGGAGGCAAGGCCGCGGGGCTGGATCGGGATCGGGATCGGGATCGGGATCGGGATCGGGATCGGGATCGGGAGGGGGAGCGGGAGCGGGACCGGGATCGAGATCGAGATCGGGAGCGGGACTGGGATCGGGCTCGGGACCGGGCTCGGGCTGGGCTCGGGCTGGGCTCGGGCTCGGGCTGGGCTCGGGCTGGGCTCGGGCTCGATGCGCTCTCAGGTCGCTAGCAGCCCGGTCCGCTCCATGATCCTGTGATCCTGAATCCCGCTGCAGGGTTTGGAGCCGAGGCTGCGGGGGAGGCGGTGCCGGGCCTGGCCGCAGGGGCGCGGGGCTGTGCGGGAGCCGGGGCCGCGCTCAGCGCTGGGGATGGTTCCAGCCCCGTGAATCTGTGCTGGACTCTTGCAGTAAGGTTTGGGTGCCCTATGGCACGTGCGAGGCTTCGCACCCAGCTGTTGGGTGATGGGAGCCACCCAGTGCCACCCAGTCGGGTGCCCGAGGTAGGAGGTGCTGGCCATGGAGTGGGGTGGGCTGGAGGAGGAGCTGGTAATCCCGGGCTGCTTTGTGTTGGAAGGGACCTTAAAGCTCCTCCAGCTCCAACCCCTGCCACGGGCAGGGACCCCTTCCACTGGAGCAGCTTGCTCCAAGCCCCTGTGTCCAACCTGGCCTTGAACACTGCCAGGGATGGGGCAGCCACAGCTTCTCTGGGCACCCTGTGCCAGCGCCTCAGCACCCTCACAGGAAAGAGCTTCTTCATTATCTCCAACCTGAACTTCCCGTTTCAGTTTGAACCCGTTACCCCTTGTCCTGTCACTCCAGTCCCTAATGAAGAGTCCCTCTCCAGCATCCTTGTAGCCCCCTTCAGACACTGGAAGCTGCTCTGAGGTCTCCGTGCAGCTTCTCTTCTCCAGGCTGAACAGCCCCAATGTTCTCAGCCTGATTTTCTCCTCATCCCCACGTACATTGCCAGGTCCCATACCCATGTATAGGACCCATGTCCTATGTTCCCATACCCATGTATAGGACCCATGTCCTATGTTCCCATGTCCTTCTAACCCTCACCCTGCCCCGTGCTGCCCAGTGTTTTGTTGTGCCAGTGCCCCGGTAACTGGGGGAGGAGAGAGGCTGAAGCTGGACTGTGTGGGGTGAGGGGCTGCAGAGGGACATGCACCCAGGATGGGGGACCCCCGGTATCGGGATGCATCCATGGGGTGCTGGGGGCTGTATCCATGAGGTACTGGGGGCTGTGTCCATAGTGTCCTGGGGTCTGTGTCCATGGGGTGCTGGGTATAAAGGGGGATTCCAGGGGCTGCAGGATCCCAGAACTCCCATCCATTGTGATACCAGTGACAAGGTGCTGGTGCCAACCGCTGCCGCTGTTGCGGGGCTGCAGAGCCTCGTGTCCCTGCCTGTGTCCCTGCAGAGCCTCGTGTCCCCCAGGCTCTGGTACCGTGTCCCGCGTCCCGCAGGATCCGGTGCCGTGTCCCGTGTCCCCCAGGCTCTGGTACCGTGTCCCGTGTCCTGCAGGCTCTGGTACCGTGTCCCGTGTCCCGCAGGATCCGGTGCCGTGTCCCGTGTCCCGCAGGATCCGATGCCGTGTCCCGTGTCCCGCAGGATCCGGTGCCGTGTCCCGTGTCCCCCAGGCTCTGGTACCGTGTCCCGTGTCCCGCAGGATCCGATGCCGTGTCCCGTGTCCCGCAGGATCCGGTACCGTGTCCCGTGTCCCGCAGGATCCGGTGCCGTGTCCCGTGTCCCGCAGGATCCGGTGCCGTGTCCCGTGTCCCGCAGGATCCGGTACCGTGTCCCGTGTCCCGCAGGATCCGGTGCCGTGTCCCGTGTCCCCCAGGCTCTGGTACCGTGTCCCGCGTCCCGCAGGATCCTGTGCCGTGTCCCGTGTCCCGCAGGATCCGGTGCCGTGTCCCGTGTCCCGCAGGCTCTGGTACCGTGTCCCGTGTCCCGCAGGATCCGGTGCTGTGTCCCGGTTCCCGCAGGATCCGGTACCGTGGCAGTGTCCCCCATGTCGGACGGCCCCTGGGTGGGCAGCTGGAGGCCCCACCGCCCGCGGGGCCCCATCGCCGCCCTCTACACCGGCCCCGGGCCCAAGTACGGGCTCCCGACCGGCGTCGGTGACTGCGGCTGCGGGGGCTGAAGGGGATGTGGGGAACGGGGGGGTGCGGGGGGTCCGTGGTGTGGGGGGGGTGTCTGTGGGGTTGCGGCGCTTGGGGTCCCGCCACCGCCCCCGTGCCGGCCCCGCAGGTTTCCGCGAGCACGACCGGTCCCGGGAGCGCGCCCCCGCCTTCAGCTTCGGGCTGCGGGTGCAGGCGCGGCCGCAGGAGCGCTCCCGGGCCCGGTACCCGCTGCCGCCGGGCCCCCGCCTGCTCCATCTGCAGCGCCCGCGGGAGCCGCTGCCCTTCAACAGCCCCGGCCCAGGTGAGACCCCCCCGGCCCCTCCATGGGCGCGGCGGGGCAGGGCCCCCCCCGCAGCCCGGTACCGGCCGGAGCGCGCCGGGAGGGTCGCGTTCCCCACGGCCCCCGCCTGCTCCCTGCGCTCCCGCACCCGGCGCGGGGCCGAGCAGCAGACACCGGGTGAGAGCGGGACCGTCAGCGGGGGTGGGAGCCAATCGTTACCCCCTGGGATGGGACGGGATGGGGTGGGGTGGGGTGGGATGGGGTGGGATGGGACGGGACGGGATGGGATGGGATGGGATGGGATGGGGTGCGATGGTATGGTAAGGGATGTGATGGTATGGTATGGGATGTGATGGGATAGGATGGGACAAGATGGGACGGGATGGGACTGGATGGGATGGGACGGGATGGGACGGGACGGAACAGGACGGGATGGGACGGGACGGGATGGGGTGGGGTGGGATGGGATGTGATGTGATGGGACGGGACGGGATGGGATGGGACGGGACGGGGTGGGATGGGATGTGATGTGGTGTGATGTGATGGGGTGGGATGGGGTGGGACGGGACAGGACGGGATGGGATGGGACGGTGTGGGGTGGGATGGGATGCGACGGGATGGGATGGGACGGGATGGGGTGGGACGGGATGGGATGGGACAGGGTGGGATGGGATGGGATGGGGTGGGATGGGATGGGACGGGATGGGGCCCCCATAATCCCTCATGGGATAGGATGAGATGGGATAGGGCTCCCATGATCCCTCATGGGATGGATGGGGTGGGATTCCCTATGGGATGGGATGGGATGGGATAAGATGGAACTCCCATGATCCCCATGGGATGGGATGGGAGAGGATGGGATGGTATAGGATAAGACTGGATTGAATGGGATCCCCCATGGGATGGGACCCTGATGATTCCTGCACCATCACCCATGGGAAGGGAACCCCGTCATCCCTGATCTGGATCCCATGATCCCCCTGGGATGGGATGGACACCACCCCCCCCCCCCAATATTCCCCACAGGCTGGGCTGGGCTGGTCCCTCCCTCCCGGGGGGTGTCACCCCGTCCCCCCCACTGATCCCAGGCCCCAGGCCCTGCTGCCTATCACCTGCCCCCATGCTGGGCCCACGCCTTGTGAGCAAGACCTCAGCCCCCAGCTACTCCGTGTCGGGGAGCAGCACCAGCGGCACCTTCTACTGGGGCTGTGCAAGGTGGGGCAGAGAATCAGGCACCGGGTGCTGGGTACCAGGGGTCAGGGCACTGGGTGCTGGGTACCTGGGGTCAGGGCTGTGGGCGGTGCTGGTGCTGGGTCAGGGCTGTGGGCGGTGATGGTGCTGGGGTCAGGGCACCGGGTGCTGGGTGCCGGGGTCAGGGCACCGGGTGCTGGGTGCGGGGGTCAGGGCACCGGGTGCTGGGTGCGGGGGTCAGGGCTGTGGGCAGTGATGGTGCTGGGGTCAGGGCACCGGGTGCTGGGTGCCAGGGTCAGGGCTGTGGGCGGTGATGGTGCTGGGGTCTGGGCTGTGGGCAGTGATGGTGCTGGGGTCAGGGCTGTGGGCGGTGATGGTGCTGGGGTCAGGGCTGTGGGCGGTGATGGTGCTGGGGTCAGGGCTGTGGGCGGTGATGGTGCTGGGGTCAGGGCTGTGGGCGGTGATGGTGCTGGGGTCCGGGCTGTGGGCGGTGATGGTGCTGGGGTCAGGGCTGTGGGCGGTGATGGTGCTGGGGTCCGGGCTGTGGGCAGTGATGGTGCTGGGGTCAGGGCTGTGGGCAGTGATGGTGCTGGGGTCCGGGCTGTGGGCGGTGATGGTGCTGGGGTCAGGGCTGTGGGCAGTGATGGTGCTGGGGTCAGGGCTGTGGGCAGTGATGGTGCTGGGGTCAGGGCTGTGGGCGGTGATGGTGCTGGGCGGAGGCGCCGCCAGGGGGCGCGGAGCGCCAGGTTCCAGCAGGGGGCGCTCCGCCGGTCAGCCAGCCGCCAGGGGGCGCTGCCGCGCCTGAGCCCCCACCCCAGGCTGCTCCCGCCCGGGCAAGCCCCGCCCCGCGACTTCCGGTTCCGGGTGCAGCGGCGGGGCAGGCGGGCGGTGGCGGGGCCCAGGGTACCGGGGAGCGGGCCCGGAGAAGGAGGCGCAGCAAAGAGGGGTCCCAGCCCGTGCCGCGGCACCGTGCACACGGCACAGGGAGGGCTGGGGGCACCCCCGGCCCCGCGCAGCGGCTCCTCGGAGCACGGAGTTGGAGGGACGGGGACGTGGGGGGGGCAGGGCTGGGCGCTGTGGAGCGCGGGCTCGCTCCAAACGAGGTAACGGCGTTTTACTGAGGGACAGAGTGAAGCAAAAGCAGCAGCGCTGGGCGCGTGAGCGCGGCCAGGGGCACGGGGGGGTGGTTCCAGCTCCGTGTCCTTTCCCCGTTACATCAGTGACACGCGTATTCATAATTCCCACAGGTAGGTGGGGAACGTTACAACTAACTCCAGGAATTTATTATCACAAGTCTCCTCCTCTTGGTGTCTGCGCACTGCTCTGCGGGGATTGTGGGCAGGGGTCTCAGGATGAAGTGAGCAGTCTTCCTCTTGTGAGTACGGGTCTTAGGATGAAGTGAGCAGTCTTCCTCTTGTGAGTACGGGTCTCAGGATGAAGTGAGCAGTCTTCCTCTGGTGAGTACGGGTCTTAGGATGAAGTGAGCAGTCTTCCTCTTGTGAGTACGGGTGTTAGGATGAAGTGAGCAGTCTTCCTCTTGTGAGTACGGGTCTCAGGATGAAGTGAGCAGTCTTCCTCTTGTGAGTACGGGTGTTAGGATGAAGTGAGCAGTCTTCCTCTTGTGAGTACGGGTCTTAGGATGAAGTGAGCAGTCTTCCTCTTGTGAGCAGGGGTCTTCAAGATGCAGTAAGCAGTCTTCCTCACGGTGCACTTTCCACCTCTGGCACAGTTGGCCCCCCCAGCAATCACACAACCAGCTATATCTGTAATTATTCTGAGAACTAGCAAGGATTTAAAACAGTGTGACCTGCCTGCAAAACCTATTGCAGGATGGGCATGGGCAAACAAGGAGTATCCCAAGCTAGCAGAGCCTTGGGAGGCTCTGTCTCCAAACTAACTGATAAGGAGGGTGTTAAATAACTCACTCATGTTTAGTGGGGCCACTAAAGCCTGTTATGTCACCACAGACTTACAACACAAACAGTGCTCTTTAAAACTACTTTAGAAGACTAGTGTGAAACAATTAACTGGTGTTTAGTGGGGCCACTACATCCCACAGACTTACAGCATAAACATTGTTCTCTTTCTACAGCCTAAGTTAAGCTAAAAAGTTCTTTAACCCTATGTTTTCCAGGCACTAGCTTTTCTTATATCAAGCCCCCCCCCCTCTGCTTTCTTTCACCTTTACAAATTCTTCTGCTGTGTGACTCGAGTGTTCTGGCCCTTTTTGTTACCTAATCTTGTGTCTTGAGGGAGCTCTGGTTTGGTTCCTGTGAACTGGTGCAGTTGTATCCACGTAACCACCCCTACGGTTTGCGAAAGCCAGTACGTTTATGTGTTTAGCTCAGCACGGGGACACGGGCAGAGGGACAGGGACGTGGCCAACCATGGACAGAGGGACAGGGGGTGCAACCCCCCCCAGGGCCATGCACTCACTGCGGGCTCCTTCCTCCAGCTCCTCCAGGGCCTCAATGTCCTCGTGCTCCCCAAAGCCACCTATGGGGAGGGAATGTGCTCAGTGACCTGGCCAGGCCCTGTCACAGCAGGACGGGGCCCCCCATAGGGGTGCGATAGGGACTGGGGGTCTGGGGGTGCAGCACCTTCTCCTTCGTTGTCCTCAGCCCCTCGCTCCTCCTCCGGCAGCTCCGGCTCCTCCTTCCTGCAGGGCTGCAGTGGCTCCTGCAGGGAACAGGCCTGAGCCCCCAGCCCCACAGCTTCCTCTGCGCTGCCGCCCGCTCCTTCATCTGCTTCCAGTAGAGCACGTCCAGGTCTGCACAGGACAGGGGCAGGGCAGCACCTCTGCACCTGAGGGGGGGCCCTGCAACGCGGGGGGGGGTCCAGGCCCTGAAGCTCCCCCCATCAGGGCACGGGGTGGCCGTTGATGCCATCCCAGGCTCCACTCACGGCTCGGGGGTGCAGGGTCCCCTCTGCCCTGGGTCTGTGCCCCCAGAGGGACAGTGCAGGGGCTGGGGGGGTGAGAGCCACAGGCAGGACACAGAGCGCCTCCCCCAGCCCCACCACTCACCAGCGAAGGTCGGGCCGTTCCTCTTGGGTCTCCGGCCGTCCGAGACGTTGTTGTCTGGGGGAGCCACGGGGTTGAAGCTCCCACCAGCCAAAGGTGCCCATTCCCACCATGAGAACTGGGATCCCAGAGGAAGAACCCCCCAGGACAGCAGCAGCGACCCCTCTGCCTCCACCACACACCCCACACGGGGCTGTCGCCTCCAGAGCCGCCGCCGAGGTGTCCTTTGAGGTCCCGCCGTGGGGCTCAGCTCACCCAGGGTCAGATCAGCTGGGAATGCCGGAGGGTGCTCGACCATCTCATCATCGTAATAGATTGATAGTAAATCAGCATCAGCTGACCAGACCATTGTATTGTGAGCATCTCCAGACCTTTGTCCAACCAAAGTTAAGGGAAAAGAAAAGGATCACAGCTCTTGCTGCTGAGATGGGCTGGGAGGTCTGGCCATTGCCTAGCTTCAGAGGGCATTACCCTGAGCACATTGAATGTGAACTTTCCTGCTGGGAAGACAGCTTTACATCCACTCAGGATAAACTCCACATCCCCAGAGGAAAACTTCCCTAAGGAAAACACTCAGTTGAGCTGAGGGCACCACCCCCAGTTTGGGTGCAGCTGTCCTAAGGACTGTAGTGTGTGCTGGTCATGGGAGTGGTGCCAGGTATAAAGAGTGCTTTCTTACACATCTCCTGTTTTAATATGCAGGAGAGATGGAAAACCCTGGGGAAATAAGGAAGGGAGACATCCGTGGGGCATCTTAGTTGCCAAATGATACAGGAGGATCTAGTAGCCAGAGCAAGCTCCCGCACTGCCCCTAGGATACAGAGGAGCCCTGAGGGCTTTTTGCATGGGTTCAGAAACTCCAGGTGTTTTGAAGTGCGAGTCATGCCGTTGATAAAGCAAAGCTGTGGTTTCACAGTGGAGTGTGGAGCAGCTAAAGGATCTCTGCCTCCTCCTGCAATGAGGGCTGGGATGAGGAGGGCTTCTCTCTATTGCCTTCTTATAGCCTGGGTGTTTTCACACATGGGAGGCACTGTGCTCCCTTGTAAACACATCAGCACCTGGAAACAAGGCCTCAGACAACTTTGCACTGCTGAACACAGCAACTGGGAGAAATCGCTGTTAACTGGGCTAGCAAGGAACGGGAGGAGGCAGCACTGGTTTGGAGAGAGCCTTAGGAACACTGTCCCCATCTACAGTCCACTGGTGCATTGTAGATACCTTCTCTTAGGGCGATTTGCAGGTTATTCATAGGAAATGAAATAGGTTTAAGAAATACCAATCTGGTTTCAATGTCTTTTATTTCCTGTGTGCTCATCAATTGCTGTGCCATACCTGGGCAAATGGAGTCCGAGGGAATTCCCAGATCACCATCCAGCAAGCAATTCTTGCAAATGGTTCTTTAGCAGCAAATGCAAAGTGTCTGAGTAAATCTGTGTGAAGATATGCATTTGCTTACTAGATGGTTCCACATATACTGTGTTCAGCTGCTTATATAAGCATATCCGCTTTAATATTTGATTTAGAATTCAATATAAAGGCGACTGCCTTCAAAACACAATCAGATTTGGCAATGAAACTAGCAAATACACATATAAAATCAGCTGAAAATGAGTTAGGAAGATGAAGCTTCCAGCTTGCTGACTGAACTCACGATTAAAGTTGGGGAGCTAAACGAGCACCTCTCAGCCCAAAATACTCCTGGTGGGGGTTATTTCAGTGATGTGGAGCCAGCAGGTTGGTACCTGGGGATGTGCTGCCTCACTTGAGGGGCTGGGGAAACTCAGGGCAAGCAGGACCAGGCAGCAGGAGGAAGGACGAACCTCTGCCCAAACTGCTGGCACTAATGTCCTCACCACGATAGCCCACGTTCAACACAGTTTCAGCCTGATTTGAAAATGGGATTTGCTCAGGAAGCGCGCCAGCTCCCGTGATTTTCTGGTCTCATCATGTTTAAGGCCACTGCTCCGAGACGTGTGATATGATGAGACTTGCAGCCTCTTTGGCTCTGTAACTACCTCTCAATGTCAGGGTCTCAGGCCATCTTACCTCAGACCACAGGAATAGAAGCTATCCTCACTAGGACTACTGCAACCTGGCATCCCAGTCCCACCAGGCCCCAC